GCCACCCTCAAAGATACGGTTTTTCCCCTTTCCAGCGGGCATCCGCGCCGCACCGCGCCACGCCGCGCCGCACCGCGAGGCTACAGCCGAACTCGGTCAAGCTGCCATTTCGTCGACTCACTTCTGGCTGGTTTAAAAGCGTTCCGGCTGGCCCGCCATCGCCTCGAGACGAATGCCAAAACATCGGCCAAAAAGCGCGGAACGGGTTCCCGTCGCGGCGCTTGTACACCGTCCCCGTCACGTCGTTTCAAATCGACCGGTCGCCTCGCTGGGATTTTCCGACGCGCTCCGATGGAAAACGTGTCTTTTTATCCGCGCGCGTCGCGGGGAAGGACAAAGCGCGTCCGCGCGGTAATTACGCGTTTGACGGAACACGGGTTAACCTTTTGCGCTCCCGCGTTTGGATAGACATACAATTTTCTTACCACATCTGCTTTTTTTCATAGTTGCAATGTTGGGTGAATCCTAAATATGTAAATGCGAATTACTGTTTGCGCAAAGTGTGAAACATCGATCGCCATGGACTCGTGAAGCTGATAGCAAACGTGTCAAAGCGCCGTATTAAACTATAATTAAATCGGAAGACGCTGAGAGCAATAAAACAAGAACACTTTGGACTGCAAAGAGTTGACGCGTTATTTCGGCCATCGGGCTCGCAGCGTTCGCTGTCTTTCCGTTCTTATAGTAGTACCATTCCGTCAGCAGACTCCTCGTTTCTCTCTTAACGAGGCGACGGTGTTTCTTTTACGGGCACGCTTTAAATAAACTCGCAGGAACGCGAGCGGGAGGTCGGCTCGAGCCCTTTCCGAAAGGTCAATACGTTTCACCTATCGAGAAGGCGGGGTGCTTTAATAAGATATGACCGTTTACCTCTCGGAAAGGTGAGCAGCAAGACAATCGCGTGCAGGCCGGACACCCAGCGAGTCCAGCGATCTAGATTCACTAAATTAATTGCTTCATGGCGCTCGAGGAATTGAATCGAATGGACCTTGATCCGTAAACTATTGCTAACGAAGTGTACAGTGTTATACTTACAGATTAGGGCATCCCATAAATCTTCTCGTTCTCCTCATGCTAATTTCTAGGGCAACACACTAACGTTTACGTGCCTTTTAATCGCCGACGTATTAACCATCGTGTATTTCTCCTCATTTCTCGATTAATTTCTTAATGATATCTTCGAGACGACACTAGAAAATATCTCAAGAATTAACACGTGAAACGATATTGCTTATGGAATGATCTACTTTGTGTTTTACTGTTTCTTCAACGTATTTCACTAACGATGGATTAATAAAGAACGTCAGGTTCGACAACATTATCGCCTAATAACCTCTGATAATAACTGACCCAACGTTTTCATATAAGGACTTGATGAAACTAGACTCGCCCGACCGCCTAATTATAAAATTTCTCGGTGCACTGATATTTTCTGCTAAGAACCACCCAACTGTAGATAGATTTCAGTTAATTCATTGAAATACGGCGCGAAAAACTAATGAATGTGTAGAACGTAATGGGAACTTTGAAATTGCCACCGTACAGGACGCGGCAGGCATCGCGCATAGATAGCTGACAGATGCGATAAGAGGTTCTTTCGATGGGCGACTCGCGATACAGCCTTAATTGAACCAGAAATTATGCGCGCAGATAGTCAAACCTGTACACCAACATCTTGGCGCGTCGACGCGTTTCTCAACGGGCTGACAAATCTTTTAAATCCGACCGGTTCTCGAGTTTTCAGACTTGTCTTCATCTCGCATCTGTTCGCTGAAAGCGTATCAAGATTTTCCACGCGGTCGTACACGCGTGCAATTCGGCCTCGACCGAAAGAGGAAACTGTTTATTGTTTCTACGAACCTATTAGGCTAATGATTCAACACAGCGCATTCAGCATACAGACTGTGTGGTATTATGAACAGTGAACCTCGTGTTCTTCGTTACAACAGAAGCAGAGAAAGGACGAGCTAATCAGGGCGATGACAAAGGAAGTTCAATCTTAAGTACCGTTTTTTTCTTAAATAAAATTGACTCGTCAAGAACATCCACTATAATGAATCCTCTGATTCATCTATGAAACTTACAGCAAGACTAATCCTTACAAAATTCAGTACGCCTGAAATTGCCATGTTTCGTAAATCTAGCGTTAACATCTCCGTCTTCCGAATGGGAACGCTCCTGGCCGAAGTCACCGGGACTAATTTACAGCCGAATCGAATAATGCCAGACAGATGTCTCGCGTTAATCGTCTCGTCCATCAGAATCAATATACAAAACCGAAAAACGAGGAGCTTACCTCCGCGGGCGGCTTGCCAGCGACGCTGACGCACTCTATCACCAGCTCTCTGTCCTCGGTGGTGATAAGAAAGTCGCCCTGCAGGATCTTCGGCTTCTGCGGCGGCACCAGGACGCTCAGCTTCGCGAACCTCGAGCGCAGAGCCGGTTGGCCGTCGTTCGTCGGCGACGCCTGGCATTGGTAGGTGCCGTCGTCTTCCAGTTCCACCGGGTATATGTGCAACGAGAAGTCGCCTGGAACAGGGAAAAGAATCCGAGTGTAATTTCACACTAGTTCACCTTGATCGGTAAGAACCAGTGTCACTCCTTCGCAATATCCACCGTTTCTTTCGACACATCGATCGAGGACACGCTGATTTTTAAATCATCGCTGCGCGGAATTTCAGTGGTTTTCTTCGTTCGTTGAAACTCGGGTGCCACGCGACTACCGAACTCGCGATCGATTAATTGATATTTATAGTCGTTTAACACAGTTTTATAGAGTTTTATATTATATCAATTCCGATGCTAATGAATTTAATTGCCGACCTCGTTCGAGCGACGCTTCGAACTTTATTCATTCTATTTCCAGATTACTCCTTCCGCTACAGCTGCTATGAAAGACAGTTGAGCTATGAGTTTTCATTACGCCCTGTAAGGAACGCGACATCTGCCACGGGCTCGTGTTATGCAAATTATTGACTCTTTTAATCGAACTCTTTTGACTTTGAATGACGCGAAGCGTAAAAAAACGAAGACGCTGGGATAATTGAATCGTGACACTATGCTCCCGTCTAAAGTACTACATTCTATATTAATTTTGTTAATTACGTCGCAATTCTTCAGACTCAGAAATGTTCCATAACGGCGAAAGTGAACTATAAGTTGGTCCGAGTCTCGACAGATGCACTCTGGGGGTCTCCATAGAAAAACATGGAAAAGGCAATTCCATTATTCGCCGGTTCTAGCGTTAAGGGCGACGCGATACGTAACGCTCGCGTTGCGCAAGGGTCGCGAAACGTAACCCGGTCGGCGGGCCGAGGCGTGCCGCGGGGCAGACTGCGGCGAGCAGAAGTTTCTCACTTGATATGAGCCCCGGTATCGGCCGTAGCAGCGAGAGAAGTGGAGCGGGCCTGGGCCGGGTAGAAAACCATTTACCCCCGTTGATTGAAACTAACGGTTTACGAGCGTCTGCCCGATGGTATCGCGCCCCCGCGCCGTACGCAGGAAATTTCTCCGACTGACGGTTTTATTTTGAAATCTCCGCGTATACGTGTAAGCTGTCAGGAACAACACGGTTTCCGCGCAGCGCGGATCGACGGGAATTAGAACGGTCCGTTGCCGGGGCCGTCAGCGGACTCGTATTTTTCTCCCCGTGGCATCGACATCTCTCTCTCCGATCCCTCTACCGCAACGTTCTACTCGTTGCTTGTCAAAATCACGGAGGATACAGTTGTAAAAGCGAGTAATCGGGCGACAGTTCGTTGACTATGGACGTTAACAACAGGGTCAATCGACTGGTTGACTTCCAAACAAATATGTTTGCACGAGCGCGCGAACGTTTCGATGAAAGAATCAATCACCGCAACACGAGAGGGCGGTAATCTAGCGGAGCTCGGGACGAGGGAAAGGCCCATAGGTCTCGTAGGCCTCTAACGAGAAACGTTAGGAGGTGCCTGAACAAACGACAGAGAGCCGAATAACGCGGCGTCTATCTAAACAAGAGAGACAGCGTAGTGCCGGTAGAGTACGTTACGGGGTAAAAGAAGGAAAGCAACGAATCGAGTGTACGTGTAACAACATTTTATCTCGTTGAAATCATACAACAAAGCGAACGCGTTGCGCCCGGGGCGGAAGCGAAAGGTTAGCATGTACGGAAGAGGTACGTCTGGCGTTTATTTTTCAATCGTTAGATGGCTGCTGCTCCAACGAAATATGTGTACCAGCTTCGACAGCATCCGGTTTTCCCGAAATCGAACGAAATTTTATACGTTTTCGGGCCACTGTTCGCAGCTTCTCCGTCGAAGTAACGCGACGATTATCGATACCAGGGAGCAATCGGCCGTTCAAGTAAATTCGTCCGCCTCGTGATTTATTTGCAACGACTGCCGGGCTCCCCGATCGATTCAACCATCCATCCATCCATCCGTCCCTCCGTCCGTCTATCCAGGCATCCAGGCATCTATCATCCTGTCCCCACCCCCTCGCGCGCCGATCTATCCGACCGATTCCCCCGTTTCTTTCATTCCATTCATACAACTTTCACGAACCGCCCAGCCCGTACGAGCGGGCATGCACGGCCAAGCAATTGTGCTTCGGCTCCGTCGAACGGATGAAACCGACGCGAACGAGCGACGGGAAGGGGGAGCCGGAACCGGAGGCGGAGGAGCGAGCCGCGCCAACCGAGACACCGGGCGCAAATTGAAAAAATGGGATCAAGCTGGCCCGCCGATCACCCCGCCCGCCGCAGCAGCGTCGTCGCGGCTCAAACTTTCGCCCTTGTTTCCCGCCCTTTGTTCGAGACTTCCGCTTCACTGGACCGACCGAAGGGGCTGAACTTCTCGCGACTGCACGCGAGGGGTTGTAAGTTCTGCCGGCGACTGTGTGTACCAATTCTAGAATGCCGAGCAACATCGATAACCCTAACCGTTCCGAAGTTTCTCGCTAGAAATATTCTCGCTAGAAACGAAGCTATTTTATTTTAATATCTAATTTAGTTTAAAACATTCAATTAGTACGAGAATCTCCATCGACGCATCCCCGAAAGCTCACAACGCGTTCGCTAAACAAGACCTGAGCCCGATAAGGTTGTCCACTGGAATTACCCGTAAAATCTCGCTGTTTATTCGATTCTGTCCGCGGAAACGATGAAAAACAGCTTCCTACTTAATATCAGAGCCCACTCTGCGTCCGCAGTTTTTTGTGGATATTCAGTGCGACGTGCAACTTCGAAACCGCATGAAAACGGGTGTAGGGACCCCTTGAAAGTTGCGCTATGCACAAGTTTACTTAGCGTCTCTTACTTAACGTCCCGGACCGCGCGCATCAAACGGCGAACGACGCGTCCGTCGAAAGTGGATAATCCGCGGCGTGTTTCCCTCGGGAATGCATGCATCGCGTCGGACGGGGTTACGCGGCGCCGCGATCCTCCTCGCGCGGAACAGCAATCTCCGAGGAGGCAATAAACGTCGCGCGCCGTTCCTTTTACGCGCCGCTGAAAGCCGCGCCGGATACGTATTAGCGTATCGCGGGAAACAAAAAGGATTTTCCACGCGCCGCGCCTGTTCCCGTTATCCCGCGGCCGCAATATCGCGGAAAATTGGAGACCGGCTGCGTATCGTCGCGGCGATAAAGGTTAGACGAGAGACGCACCGCCGCGAGCGGCGAATGGAAATTGGTACGGTGTTTCTCATTTTCGTCCGTTCGCGCCGTTTATTCCCGATGTATCCGGTCGCCGCGCGATTGCGCTCTCGCGGCGCTGCTCGGGGGACGATCATAGAAAATTAGAGATAGGCTGGAGATCGCGGTGATCTCGGCAGCTGTGTTTTCTTAGGAAAGTGATGCTCGAACGCAAACACTCTGAACGAAGTGACTTTAGACTTGAAATTCTTATTTTGCAATGATTGAAACTGCCAGAGGAACAACGAGAAGCGGTTCGAGTGTCAAGAATTCTATTCTTCTAATTGTTACACCAAGTCATAAGTAAGTCGGTGCAATTGTTCGGCAGTTGATCAAGAGATTCCGCGCGAGTCCTCGAATCGGGATCAGAGATATACCGCGCGAAATGAATTCAAATTGGACTCATTTATAATTTCGTTTGTTCCAAGGGGGAACGCGTTCACTCAATTCTAAATCTCGCGAGCTTTCATCCCGGTGAATAGAGATATTCAGCTGCGGTAAACGCATACATCTACTCGGTGGATCGCGAGGTACGAGCAGTCGGCCTCCCCTGGGCCGGAATCCGCCTTTATTCGTGCCCATTTCAAAAATAATTCACACCAGCGCGGCGCGTTAAACTCGAAGGGATTCCGTTGCATTATGGGGGACAATAATTAGCACTCCTCCCGAGGCGAGACCATTCAGGGAACTTTCGAAACTCCGGCCGGCCAGGAAGCGGAGGCTCCTCGCCACCGCGGCGCGCGTTTACCCGGCGCGCCGGTTCGGTAATTACTTCTGCGCGGAACACGCTCCCCCGCATTCGTCGCGAATGATGCCGGGCAAGGCCAATGACACGGACAACTCTCGGCCGAAGTTGCGACCGGCGCGGTCGTAACTTTCTCGTAAACAAAACTGAAAGACCGTGGAAAAGTCGCGGGATGTCTTGAATCACCTAGGAAACTCGTTCGGCGCAGAGGGCTCGTTTCATTTCCGCCGCCGCGCTGCCGTGGCCAGTCAAAGCCGCGGAAACAAAGGGGATGGATAATGCAAACGCGAACGAAAAAATAGGGCCGGGCTGCGTTAAACAGTTCGGGCGAGCTGTTGCCGAGTCGTACGGTTTCAGCGGTTTCATTCGAGCTTCTTCGAACGTTACGTATTAATTCTCCGCACTCGAGGAGCGTATCGCGGTCATCGTTTCATTCCGCTAAATTAGAGAATTCGATGTTAAAGATCAAATTAATGCAGTCGATTTCATCAACGTTTCGTTAGAAGATTGCGAATGCGTGCAGCGAAACCTTTCGAACGTACACGTATTGTCAACAGATTATGGATTATAAACAATAGACGATGGGTGCAGCGAAGACGAATAACGCGCACTGTAATCGGATATATCCGTTAGCAAGTAAATTCGCTGTTCGAAAGAGTGCAAAGTTGGAAAGTTTTAGAGAAAATTCGATCTACTCCACGCATGAAATTAACGAAGCAGGATCAACATTCAAGCGTTCGTGAAATAAACGCAACCGCTGCGCCCGAAGAATGTTTCGTAAGAATGATTTTCGCGGTAATTTCCCGCAAGAAAGCATTCATCGGCGACGCCACTAAACAGGGGAGAGTAAATTTTACTGAAAAATGAACGTCTTTTTATGGAAAACGAAATTCAATATCCGATAACCGCGGTTATTACGAAATTTCGAGGAAAATGAACCAGCGGCACGAGTCTGGACAACCTACATTGAAATTTCGAGTGGTATACGATATCCGGTGATGCGGAACAATTCGTTTCAATTATTGAAAGAGCATAAATGATTCTCTCAGAAATGACGAAATCGTCTCGGATGAACCCAGAATCTAATCGAACTGAAACCTCAATAAACGCG